GATATATTTATAAATTTTATTTTGCGAAAAATACTAGTTTAGAAAAATAATATATTATAATAGTTACATCAGCTTTATATAATTAACAGATTGTGCAATAACAAAAAAGTAAAAACAAAAATTTCCTTATATTTTTAGAAAAAATTTAGATTTAAAAAGTTAAATTGAAAATAAATAATTTTTTTTTTCTCTGTTTTTTTTCAACCTTTTCTATTTTTTACAAAAAATTAAATTTCTTGTAAACATGCTTTAACTTATATAACATTGCATCAAAAATATTCATTATTGTACATTTAAATTTTTTGTATTAAGGCAAGTGAAAGGGCAAAGGTATATATTTATCGAACTTACGAAAAGCTAATGTGCTCATGAAGAGCTAAGCTGTTTTTTATTTAAAACAAGGCCTGTAATTCAAAATGAACTTTAATGGTGGTTCTTGTCATTGGAACAGTTTTGGTTATTTCAGCTTGTGTCTTCAGCTATTATCTACTTGCTGTTTTCCTGATTGTTTTAAAAAATGTGATTGTGTTTATAATTATCAAAAAAAATTCAATCGTAGCATAAAATGTTATCAATTAGGTTTTTAGATTGTCTTTGTCATCACCTTCTCTTGCAGTTATCTTTTATTTAATTTTTATCTTTAAAAAGAGATTTTTTTTATGGCTGGTTGCATAAATACTCACATAACTGTCATCAGTAACATTTATAGGTCCATGAGTAGAAATGCGAAATCTTTTAGATTTTTGGGACTCTCAACTCCAAATTCTAAAAAAAAAGGTTTCTTTAGGTTACATAGGAGGTGTATTTTTCAGCTGAGAGGAAAAACTCATCAGCCACGGATTGTCACAAAGAATATCACAAAAAGAATCTCAATCAGCTTTAGGGTAATAGTAAATAGTGTGATATTAGGATGAGTCTGAAAAGGGAGTACGAGATGAAAGATTTAAGGAGATTATTGCATGATCAGAACCACCTAAGGGAGAAAAAGGAGAAACTGAACACGAGCTAGAATCAGAGAGAAGACTTAAATCAAGGAGTGAAGGTAAATGATTAGGGTTGTCAGGAAAACAAAGTCAACTATCTGAGTAAGTGATTGAGAAATGCAGAAGTTATAGATTTTAGTGCCACCAGGGTCAATGGTATAAAACAACAATCAAAATAACTCTAAACAACAAACAATAATCTTACATCACAGTATTAATGAAATACTCAGATACCAAACTATAAATCATAATGGAAGAAAAAAAGTTTAAATGGTACAAATATAGCACTTTGTGCATATAATTGCTAAAATTTTTAAACCATACTTATACTTTATCTCCAGGCTGTAAAAGTTATATTACATTAATTTATAACATTCTTACAAACAATAATAATTTTAAAATTGTTTTTGCACTTTCTTTTGTATAACAAGATATTTTTTAACAACAACCACAAAAAAAAACTTAATGTATTTTTACCTGATGATGACCTGATAATATATATATAAAAACCTTTAAAAAATACTCTACTTAGGAGCTGTTGGTTGAATTAAGGCTACTGATCTCGATGAAAATAACCATCTAGTGCAGATGTCATACAATTGAGTAATGTTTTGTAAAAAACTCTACTAACCCTGTCAAACTTTAATTCTTTTTTCTTGAATAAAATTTTGATAATTAGAACTTTAATATAAAAAAATCACCTTTCAAAAAAAAAAAAAGACAAACAGTTTTATTCATAAATACAGAGTTGTTGAGTTGTAGGATAGTTGTAAATTAGTTGTAGGATTGTTAGGAATGCGAAATCTAAAAAACATACCGCGCTTATCCCTTACCTTGTAGTGAATAAAAATTATAAAAAACTTATTATAATTATATTATATATATATATATATATATATATATATATATATATAAAATGAAATTCCACATAGAATATAAGTTATTTTGGTAGTGGTGCCCTTTGCCTTCCTTTACTACTTAAATGTCAAAAAAAATATTAAAAATTTTCTAGAATATGTTTTTTTAAAATTTTATTAATTGTGTTTTATAGATAAGTTGTAATATCTAACTGAAATAAGAATACTGTTTTTCAAAAGCAAGCCTGTATAAAATGTTTGGAATAAAGAACAAAGAGAAAGATGCTAAGTGGAAACACATAAAAAAATGAATGAAAGATTCAAACCTGATTTGGCGACAAATAATTGAGTTGATGCATATGTATACCCTAAGCCAAGCATGTGGCTATCGGGACCTTTAGAAATCAAAGGATAGTACCCATTAACACTGATATTAGAAAAAGGAATAGTAGAACTTAAAAGCAAGCAAGTCTGGTAAATTTTGCAAGAGGTAAGATTCAACTGATTGAAGGTTGCCTTGCAGACCACGAGTATTAGAAAAAAAAAGATATATTAAAACACTTAGGTGGTTGGACAATTTTTTATGTTTTGGTTTATTTTCAACATGATTTAAGTTTAAAGAGAACTTGACTCATTTATAGATAGAGCAGGACCTAATAAGCAATGAGCAAAGCAATTTTCTCAGTCCTGTTAATTAGCCCTAAGTTGTTAACAAAAGTTATAACAGGGACACCATCTATGCGCAACATGGCACTGTTAGTAATCTAATATTTTGAGGTTGTTGATGGAATCAGTCTTTTTAAGAGTTCAGGAAACCTTACTATAAGCCGACCTCAGAACCATTAAACTGAGTTTTAGAGCTGTACCCTCATTAGGCAATAACAGGAAGAGTTGCTTAGCCACTATTGAGGAGACTTTAGCAAAAACCTATGAATCAAGAACATCAAGCATTCATTACCTTAGAAAAGAAATAATGTAACACAGGTTTACATCTATGCCAGCCTAATGGATGAAGAAGGGATTCGCCTCTTCTTAGCAGAGGTATTCTGCTAACCCCTAAAATCTTTGCCTAGGAAGCCTTGTACAAGACAGCAGCTTATGCAGTTAACATCTGCCCAAGATGAGTATTTTTTCGAGACACCTTTTCTAGCCTTTACTCAATCAAGAGCTCTAAGGCAACAGAATTTTCAAGTTAAAGTTTGTTACTTCTAGCTTTTTCCTAAAAAAGCACACTCTACATCGCAGCAAAGCATGGGGCAGATAGTACTAGATTTCATAATACCAGTAGCAGGGTCATTGTAAGAAGAGTATTTCACTTTAATTATTTAGAGTTATTCTCAATCTCTTTTTAATGTTATGATGCAAAATTTAATTTTTTTTTTACTATCTAATCATATATGACACCAAAAATAATTTATTTAAAAGGTTTAAAATCTAAATTGGTTTAATTTTTTAACATAACTATTTTTTTTTATAATAAGGTTACATATTAAAGTCAGTGGAGTGCGCTAGATTGATTCAAATATTAAATTTATTTTTAGAAAAGTTTCTACTGATGATTATTAGACGAACCCTTGCTGAAATATTGTAAAATATTTTTTGAAAGATATTTAAATTAGTTTTTGATTATTCTTTTAGTGGGGGTTGGTTTATGAACACTGCCAGGTATATATACTTTAATCTTCACTTTTATTAGCCTAAAGGATCGAACATAAACTTTTCCTATTCAATGGATCAAGGTTATAACGACTTCCATGTTATGTTATTCCATTATATCAATTGTCAGTTTTTTTTAAATAAAATAAGTAATTCTACAGTTAATAATGACATGCAAAAATTTCTTTTAAAAAATCTTTTGCTGATACCTCAACCATTATTCTGATGACCATCCATTGTAAATTTTTTTCAAAGGAAATTTAGTTTTGAAACAAACTCCTTTGAGTTATACATGCAAATTTATTGTTATAAAAAATTTGTATTGTACTTTTTTTTACATGATTTTTCTGTGTCATCTAGCTAGCATTAATTGGGTGACATTGTGTGTAGCACCATTTGTCAAAATCTCTAAAGTTTATCAGCTTGTTTAAAAATTTAATTTAAAACCTGATTAAAAATTAAAGTTCTTGGTGCTCAAAAATTTTATGGGTTCCCAAAACTCTTGATTCCAGGCCTTCTAACTCTAGAATCTAACTTTGTATTTTTGAAGTCCACAAATAAGCTGCATACATAAGGATATGTAATTTTACTACTTTAATGCTATGAACTGTTTGACAAAAATGTTATGCATAGAAAGTAACCTCAGCTTAGTAGTTGTCTGTTCGTTATGTTTGTAAAATCAATGGTTTTAACAATATTTATATATATTTAAGAGATATTGAAATAAAGTTTTTTTCTATAAACTTAAACTGATTATATATTTTCAAGAGATTGAATTAAAGTTGTTTCTATATGTTTAAACTGATTTCAATGCCAACCATCAATTGTTAAAATAAGATGAAAAAGAAAAAATACTCAAAGTGATAAAATAATTTTGCTGTTAGTAATGTCTTGCAAAAATATATTCCAGTACTGTCTACACTAATCCAAATCTTTAATTGATGTCTTTAAGTACAGTGATGCAAATAAGATTTAGGTTTGCCTCCAGCTTGTCTTTAGCTCCTTATTTATTTTTTATGCCTTTGGTTTTCCCTTTATTTTCTTTTAACCTAAAATAATATTATTATAATAAATAACATATTTCAAAGATAGTTTATAAAAGTTTGATTAAATATACAAAAAGTATTTATTAAACTTCTCTTCCATTCGGACTCTTCAGTTTTATTATTATTATTATTTTTTTCAGCATGTCTATTTTTTTGCCAACCTTATGCCAATCTCTAACCTCTAATGCTAACCTTATGTTTTAAGGTCAGCAATTTATTGCCAACCTCATTTTTTCTAATTCCAAAGACTTGATAATAAGAACTGCTGTTAATAGTATTCACTTATAAAAATACTTTAAATGTATTTTTATTTGTTTGTGTGTTCTAATTTATAATTTTTTAACTTTTTAAACAATGCATATAATAGTTAGAAATATTAATAAATATTTCTAATTATTTGTTATTTTTATTAGAAAAAAAAAATGGATTTAAATTTTTTTAATTTTTTGAATATTTAGAGTCTTTAAGAACTTTATTCTGTTGAAAGATGTCCAGCTATAAAAGTGTGCCTGTTGAAGAACAAAGTGGTATGTCTAAATTAAAGTTTTTTATATTTTAATAGGTTTGTTATACAATCTTTAACATTCCAGGTTACATAGTTTGTTCCAGGTTACATCTAATTTGTTGTCATATTTAAAATAATTGTCATAATTGAAAGTCATAGTTAAATTTTTCAAAAAGTTGTTTCAATAATTTTACATTCTAGTTTCAACATTTTAAGAGAATAAACTAAATGGTTACAAGTTATGATATTGAGTAATATTTCTGGCCTTTTTATTAAAAACATTGCAGCTGTACAGAAAGGACTAATTAACTTTGATTTACCAGATTATGCAAGTTTTATGAAAAAAAAACAAAAACAAAAAAATTAAGTTCAAAAATAGCAATATAATAAATGGACCCTGTTATGCAATAGGGAACCAATCACTATTTTTTGAAAAATGTGTTAATAATTGAAAAAAAAGCTAATTATAAATATCAATAATTAGGCTTGGTCGGGAAGCGGGAGCGATCGCTCTCGATTGCTGACCACGTAAATAATATTTAGTTGCGAAAAGCTGGCCAGATTTTATAGTCGTTTTGAGAACATTTTAAAAAGCAAAAAAAAAAAGCGATTAAGATTAATTGGACCGATGAGAGACAATTACAAAAAAAAAAAAAAGTAGGCAAATAAAATATCTTTAAACGCGAAAAAACTTTAAGCTAAATAAATTACATTTAGAACATATATTTTCGAAACATCGCTTTTTTATAAATTTTTTTTATAAAATTAGGCGATATTTTTTTATTTAAAGTAACAACTTACGATTGTTTAAAAGGGAAACAAATATTCTTTATTTAACTAAGTTTGCAAGTTTTAGTTTTACTTAAGCTTAATTTATTTTATAAATAAAAAAGTTAATTTTTTTAATGCCTATTTTATGTTTCGCGTAGTTTGAAAAGTTTAACATATTTGAAGCGAGTCTTCTTAGTAAAATAAACAAATGAAATAATTAAATCATTGAATTACTATAGGAATTAAATTATCAAGATAGAAATCAAATAAAAAGGTTAAAAATGCTTAATGACCAGGAAGCGAAACTGCTTCACAATATCGCTGATGATGTTTAGTGAGTGGGCTTTTTAATTTTAGTTAGTATTTAAAGCAGTAAAAAGTATAACGAGTTTTAAGAATGGCAACTTTAGTGAAAATAATTAGAGTTAGTAAACCAATATCTAAAAACTTTTCTTTATATCTAATTATTTGCTATTATATATTTGTGTTCTATCGTGACCTCAGGCACGATGCTTGTTCATCCGCGAGTTACTTTGAATGCGTTGTTTGTGTTTAGTAACCAGAAACTTCTTATATGTTTGTTACATATTTAGTTTTATTAACTTTAACGATTATAACTTTATTGAAAACGCAATTATTTTTGTAAGTCTTTGTTTAAATCATAAAAATTGCTTTAAAAGATACATTACAATAAAAAACAAACACACAAAATTACATTTGCATATAGAATACAATCTCTTTTTAAATAAAAAAATAAGAATATACTAATAAAATCTATAATTTATAATAAACTTTTAAAATTTTAACAATTTAATTAATATATATTTAAAACATTTATTTTTGTAAACAAATAATATATATTCTTAAAACAATTTATGCTAGAAATCTCAAAACGTAACAAATCGTGAAATATACAATTTCTAAAACAGAATACTCCGGAACTTTATTTCGCTTAATCAGCTTATTTTTTTAACTAATAGAATTAGTTTGTTTGTTAATTTGGAGGGTTTTTAGTGTTCGCAAATATTCTTTTTATTCTTTCGCACAAAGATGTTTTAAGAACATTCAAGTTTTTTATGTTTCCATGTATGTCCGTAAAACAAAAATTCTTTGTTTCGTACATAAACTTAAATGTTCTCAAAACGACTAAAAAACCTGGCCAGTTTTACGCAACTAAATATAATTTCCGTGGTCAGTATTCGAGAGCGATCGCTCCCGCTTCCCGACTAAGCCTGAATAATAATATTCTGCCTATAGTCACATTTGCAAAAGGCTGTGAATGTATTGAATGTTGTGAATGTATTGAATGTTGTGAATGTATTGAATGTTGTGAATGTATTGAATGTTGTGAATGTATTGAATGTTGTGAATGTATTGAATGCTGTGAATGTATTGAATGTTGTGAATGTTTATAATTTCCTATTGCAAAACTAAATTAGGTCTAGTTTAAAAATTGTTTTATTATCTTGAAATATTGTAAATGTTGGTTAGTTCCCTTTGCATTACAGGGTCCAAATAACACTAACACGCTCACGACATGTTTATTTGGTTAAATAACAGTTATTCTAGCCATACCCAGCATTAGTTTGGGTGATTAATACAAATTGTTCTTTTAACCTCTTCTTTCTTTTAACTAGTGCAGCCCACCATGATTGTACTGTGAAAAGAGAATTTTCAAATTTTAAATTTATGGGATAGCTCAAACAACTGTGTCTTAACATTTAATGATTATTAGTGGTGCTGAGTTCCTTCTGTGCTTTGCATTTTTTATACACTTTCATTTTTAATTTTATATAAACATCTGCATTAGAGAATGTACACTAGAGAAAGTTTTTATTGAAAGTTTATGTTGATGTGTAAGGCATAATTAAATAATTATGTGTAAGACAAAATTGAAAAAAATTAAAAAAAAATTTTGCAATCATCTTTTTTCCTTGTTATGTATATACAGCTGTGAGCATGAAAATAACAGTACCTGGAATATTTTGAATATTATTATAAAATTTTGTTTTAATTTATTGCTAAAAAAATGTTATTAAATTTATATTGACACTTAAATCTAATAGAATAAAAAAAATCACATCAATAGTAGTTTTTCATTTTATTTCAGACACAGAACAATAATATTAAAAAAAGGTTGCAGTCATTAAAATAGCAGTCGTATCTGAAAATGGAAATTTTTTTTTTTTTTTCGAGAGTTAAGTATTAAAAAAGTTAATTTTTTAACATTAAAAAGTTAAAAATAAGTATAATATAATAATATTTACACTTGGTATTTTGTTGAAAAACCTTTGTTTTTAATAATGGCTTCACAACGTCGATACATTGAGTCAACAAGGCGTTGACATTTTTCTTTGGGTATTGAGTACTATGCTTGTTGAATAGCTATCCATAACTGCTGAGCATTATTTGGATTATCAGCAGAAACTCCTTTTTTAACGTTTCCCCATATGTTTTCAATGGGGTTTAGGTGGGGTGACTGAGCAGACCACTCCATAACCTCAGCCATACTGACCTGAAACCCCATTGACCTGAAACCACTCCTTTGCCTTATGGTTAGTGTGTTTCAGGTTGTTGTCTTGTTGGAAGACCCATTCTAGCGGCATGTCTTAAATAGCATAGGGCAGTATGATATTATTGAGTATGTCGGCATATATATGTTGGTCCATGATACCATTAATCTTATAAATAGTGCCGACATCATTATATGAGAAGGAGCCCCATACCATGACTTTATCTCCATCATGTTTTACGGACTTGATAGTATATTTTTTCTGAAATTTTACATTAGCTGGACATCTTACATATTGACTTGAACCTGCACCTCCATAAAGACAATTTTTGATTCATCGGTCCATAATATGTTGCGCCACTTTTTGATGGGCCAATTCAGATGTTGCTTTGCGAACTGCAAACGTTTAGGGGTATGTTTTTTTTGTCAACAAAGGAACCTTTCGTGGACTGTATGCATATAAACTGTTCTCTCTTAAGCGCCTACGAACATGTAGGTTGCGTCACTCACATGTTATTCAAGATCATCTTTGACTTGCTTGGCCGATGATAATGGTTTACTTTTAACGGATCATACAATTCTTCGGTCTTCTTGTGCGGTAGTCTTTCCACCTTGTTTTTCATATTTTGCTGAACACCTGAGAATATTTTGTATATATGAGTAAGATTTACCTTCTCTATGATGCTTCAAAATATTATTTTTATTATTGAGCATACACAAATAAATAAAGTAAATATTATAATTGAAGTTATACTTACTTTTCATGTAAAAATTTTGAAAATTTCTTTAAATTTTATAAACTAACTTTAAAACCAATACAACCACTGCTATTTTGATGCATTCTCTGAATTACAATAATTTTATTAAAAATAACGGTGTTCTTAAATGTATTGAATTCTTGTATGCTCAATTTACTTATCTCATTATTGTAAATACACACATAAAAAATTTGTTTTTCTATATTATACAGAAGAAGAGTAATAATGAAAGTACGAATATTTTTTTAGTACTGCTATTTTCAAGCTCACAGCTGTATGTATTAGGGTGTCCTATAAAAGTAGGTTTTCTAAAAAATGTCTGTTCTCACCTCTTAATTGTGTTTTATATAATAAAAGAACACTGGATTAAAAAAATGTCTAAATAAAATTCATTTTTAGGGATCCCCAAGCCTCTTCAATATTTAATGGGTAATATTGTACAGGGTGTTAGCCAACCTGATGGTACAGCGTATAATGCGGTTTTCCCCGGTTTAAAATTCCCAAATGTTCATAAGATCATAGTAAAAAAAAAAAGTTAAATCAGTCTCAGATTTAAAGTATCGCCCTAGACAAGTAAAAAACACAATAAGTATGCACAACGAGAAAATGAATAAAATTGATCGATTTTTTTAATCTGTAAAAATATGTTGTCGTTAACAAGCGTCATTAACATTAACAAGATCATTCATCTAAAAGTTGAAAAAAACTTTTTCAAGTCAGTTATTCTTGAGTTAAAATCTTTCAATATGTTTAATAAATTAATTTATTAATTTATTTTTATTATTCAAAAAATTTATTTACGTTTTTGCTGTTTATCTTAAGTTAGTAAAGTTACAAAGAAATTTGCATATTAATAAATACTTTAAAATAAGTTAATAACGTTTTTATAATAAAAGGTTTATTAATACTTTTGGGAAAATAAATTAGCTGGTTAAGAAGATGGAAAATAACAACAAAAATAATCAAAAATAAAGCTTGCAATGAAACGTATTATCTATGTTATATTTGCGTAAAATATAAAAGAAGATAATTAAATAATATTATAATATTAATTATTAACCAATATTTATAAATGCAAAATTTTTTTTTTAATTTACAAATACAAAATTTACGTAGATATTACAGGTCAACAAATAAATAATTTTTCAAAAGAATCCTATTTTCATAGAGATTTCAAAAATGTTATTTGTTTTAATAAAAATAAGTACTTTTTGTATTATTGCTGAGAAACATTTTGTTAAAATTTTTTTAAAAGTCTTTAGCAGTTTTTCACCTTATTTTTTTGTCAATAAGTTTTAAGAAAAAATATTTATGTTTTCTAAAATCTCTATGAAAATAGGCTTCTTTTGAGACCCAGGTTGACATTTTTGAATAACTTTTTTTTCGACAATATTAGGGACTTTACCCTAAATACTAAAAATTTGAACCCAAATATCTTTACAACTTGACGTGATGGTGAAAAATGAGTTGCATATTTAAAATGAGAAATACTATAAAAAAACTAATTGTTTGCTCGGCACCATATTTAATGTATATTTGTAAATTGAAAAAAAAAAAAATAATAATTTTGTATTTAAACACTTTTTTTAAGTTTAAATACCTAATTTACTAGATATTTAAATAAGCTGATTAAATTTAGTTGCTGCCTTCGTGCTGTGAAAGAGTCTCGCTCTGCCCCCTAAATGTCTTTGTTACTCATTTAAATTAAAGTAGCATATTGCCACAAAAGCTCTTTTAATAAACATATTTGACGGAAATCGGTGACCCAACCAAGTTTTTCAAAAATTATTGAGATTTTGAAAACTTTCATTTAACTTTTATTTAAAAGCTATCGATTTAAATAGGTTTTTAAACTATTAAATTTGTTAAAACTGTTGTTTGAATCAAATAAAATTAACTGTTAAATTTATCTAATGATAAAAATTATAATATAAAATATAATGAACAATATGAATATTGTAAAAAAGTTAAAAATTTTTTTTTAATATTTTAAAATACTAAAGTATTTAAATACTTATATATTCAAATATATTTCTTCAGAACTAATCGTTTAAACCTTTTGAGTTTAAAAGCAATGTACGCAATTAAAATAGATCTAAGTTTTAATAAAATTTAATAATTCATTCATTAAAACTGCAAACAATTTTGTTCTTGTTTTCTCTCTACTATACTGCAGCCTTTTTTCCAAACGCCTTAAGGTAAAAAAATTGAACATTTTTTTTAAAAGTACATTTGGACATTTTTACAAAATAAGCTAATTTAGATGTCTACAAACGTTATTGAATACATATTTTCAAAGTGTTCTAAACAAATTTATAAAAATTATTTGTTTCAAAAATGTTTTACTAATAGTTTCTCCTAATAATTTTTTTTTAATTGCGTTTTTCTCAATATACGTAATAAGCATATTAAGGCGTTTTGAAAAACAGCTGCAGTATATCAAACAAAAAAAAGAAGCGATTTAAAAATGAAAACTTTAAAAGATTGCTCATAGAATTAAATATTTATAGTAGAAAAATTTAAGTAGAAAAATAATCCTGCTATAAATATAACCTAGCAAAAATAGAAACTTTATTTTGATTTAAATTTAATTGTACTTAAAAAACATAAAATTTATTAGCTTTTTAATTGTCAGAACCTTTTTTTTATGCCTTTTTTTTTTCAGTCGCATCTAAATTCCCAATTTTGCAAAAAGCTGTATGAAATTTTTTCCTGGCTAACACCCTGTTGTAATAATATTATCAAATTAAATATTATCCCTAATATTATCAAGAAAAATGTTTTTCAAAAGTATGTCATGTTGGGTCTCAAATGAAGTGAAAATATACAAAAAGTTTCAAAAGGAATAAAATATATATATATATATATATTTATATTTTAGATTTTACTGCATAAAAAATGACATATTTAAAACTAAAAATCAAAAAGTCCATTTTCAATTTTTTTTTTTTGATAATTTTTTTTGATTTTTGTTTATAAAGTGATTATTTTTGTAATTTTAATATAATTTCACTTTATTTATAACCCAACAAAAAAGTTTTTCAAAGTATGTCAAGTTTGAAAACCTTTTTTTTTTAATGACAATATTAAGGATCCTCTAAATGTTTAAGGTTTTTTGATTATTAATTGGTTTTGCCTAATAATTTTTGGTAACCATATTGTTTACTTAATAATTTTTGGTAACCATATTGTTTACTTTTTATTTGAGACAGTTTTTCGATTTATATTATGCTCTAATACATGGTTTTAAAATTTTTCAAACATGATTCATCATATGCAAGTAATTACATACATACAAATAAAACTTTGGTTGCTCTCTTAGCAACTTTTGAAGCATTAGCAAACTCTTAACAACATTTGAAACCATGAAACATTAACTCTGAATGATTTAATGTTTCATGGAGTAGAAACCAATTTTACCTGCATTAGTTATATGTTTTAATCATATGTTTAGAATAATTAAAATAATTAATCTAAATAAAGATTATTATAAGCAAAAATAGTTAGAGAAACATTTTTAATAAAATTTTTTTGTTTAATACTTTTTAGTGTGCAGTTGTTGACAATATGATAATAGTATAGTCTGATGATAGTGATGATGATGTGTAGCTTGAATAGCTGTCTAGTCAGTACTTTGATGTTAGTGCATGATTTGCAAAGTAATAGTAGCAGTACAGTCATCAGTAATGATGACTGTATTGTTACTATCTATACTATACATAATGCATGATTCACAAATTACTCAAGGTTTAATGAATACAATGTGATATGATGGCATGAAATGAAATGTTTTATTTTGTTATCATTTAATTTTTTATTACTTTACTACTCAATAACTTTGTTTTTTATCATGTTATTAAAAGTTTAATCAACTTGATCAATTTATAATTGATTACATCACTTATAACATTTTAATTCTAGAAAATGAAGAAGCCGTCAAGGTTGCTCCAAAACAAAAGGTTTATTTTTTTTACACTTGTTGTCGTTTTAATTATAATTTTTTTGTTTATTTGTTTATGATTTATTTTTGAATTCAGTGTTCTTAGATTTTCTTGTTTGTTTATTTTTTTAATTTCAACAAATTTATGATTTAGTTGTGTGTTTCAAATTCTAACAGTTTTTTAAACAAGTGTTAAAATTAGCTTCTTAATAATTCTTAAAGTAACAACCAAGTAGTTTTCAAACGAACAAAAATAAAGAAATTATAATCTTGAGTTAAATTACTTTTACATAATTAAAATATGTTTAAACGTTAAAAGTATTTTATACTACTAATATTTATTAATGAAAATATTTACATCCAAAAAGTATGGGTTCGGTAAAATGACTCGGTAAGTTCCTGTTGAATTTCCTGAGGCTATGTTGATAAGTTCCAATCAAATTCAAGATTATCGGAGCCATTTCGAGATCAAGTTTTTCAAATAGGTTTTTGATGTCCAAGTATTCATTAACATCTAAAGTTTGTAAGAATAACTTTGTTGGTTTTAAAACAAGATTCCTTTTTAGTTGATGATATTTTTTGAATCTTTAAAAATTTATATAACGATGTTATCATGGTTTTTACCGTCATATTTTTCTATTGTATACTAAGTTCGGGTGTTAGATATTTCTCTCTCCTTTATTTCACTGATATTAAGTAATAGTGTTAATTATTTTAAAAATCTTTTCTTAAAAATTTTTTTCCATTCAATTTTGATACAATGTAATGTTCTTGTTGAATATTATTATTTTTTGTAAATTTTAAATTACAGTACTGGCCATTGAGGTTTTTGTTTTGAGAATTTGTTCTCTTTCTTCTTAGCCTTGGCCAGATATTGATTAATTTTTTTTAATTGGTAAAGATGCCATTATAAAATCCAAATATTGTTACATAGTCCTGCATGAAATTAAATATTTTTTTGTAATTTATTGACATTTTTATTAATTGCTGCTGTTGTTTTGTGTGTGATATTTTCATGTTTTTAACTTTTTAGTATTTTTTGTCATAATTTTTTGTTATAATAAATTCCCCTCAGTTCACAGAATATAGAATATCTAAAAATATGTTTGAAACTGACAGATATAATTGAAGCACACCTCTAAAACTGCTATGAGAAATGATAGGTTGTTACTGCAATTGTGTTGCAAGAGGCAACACAATTTCATTAATTGCAAAAGGCAACACAATTGCAAAATTGGGTGTTGAAACTGGTTCAGCGATGATTGGAGTAAAGCATACAAAAATTTACTGTAATGTTTAATAAAAGTACATGTGATTGCAAACAAAATGATACAAAAGGATGTGAAATAAAATTTAATGTTTTATTGAATTACATTGAATAATCTTAATTAAAAATTGTTTTTAATTGATTGTTGCAAGGTAGTTGCATAGGATCAATAAATTAGATGTTGTTTGCAGGAATGTTCCTCTGATGAATCTTTAAGTCATAGTGAAAAGTCGTATCTGGAAGTCATAGTGGAAAGGATCCAGTTTGGTAGAAGAAAATAAGAAGAAACAGCTCCACCAGAGTGTTTCTAAGAAAGTTTCAAGCATTCACAAATAATAATGTTTTGGAGTGTTATTTCAGCGAAAGGTCTGGACATTCATTTGATCAAGGGAATAGTGTGATTAGTAGAAATTACTGGAAAAAAGTTTTTTTGCTCAGCTGCATGAATGGTTCCAAATAAAAAAACGATTTTGATGAGAAAAAAAGTTCAAATTTGACAACAGTATTCCATTCAAAGACAAATAAGAGACATGTAATAATCGAGAATAGAATTACGAGTAAGGAATTGGCCAGTATATCCAAAGAATTTTGTGTTAAAGGTTAAACAGGTGGAAAGATTAGAGGCTATGAATGTTTGTACAAGAAAGATTAAAACATTTGGTCTTTATGATTTTTTATGTTTATTAATTTTTGATGCTTCAGTCATGTTTATCGAATTATTGCAGAAATTGACAAGAAAAAACTGGATTTATATGCTTAGAGTATTATAATTGTTGATATATTGTTTTTATGTTTTATATTTAAATAGTTGATTGTATTCATTGAATAGTTTTTTTGTACTTACATCCTTCTTGTGTTTCACAAATATTAAAACAATTTTATAATTTTTTTTAGCTTATTTTTGGGTATCCTGTGCAAGTATTATTTATCCTTGGTAATGAATTCTGCGAAAGATTTTCTTACTATGGCATGCATGGTAAATTAAAAAATTCTTAAATTTTTTTAAAGTTTTGATTTGCTGTTAAACAATATATATATATATATATATATATATATATATATATATATATATATATATATATATATATATATATATATATATATATATATATATATATATATATATATATATATATTCCTCATTGTTTTCAGCCATCTTGGTTATTTATTTAACAACTATGTTAAACATGAGTAAAGATGATGCTACTGCAGTTTATCATGCATTCAACATGTTATGTTATTTCTCACCAATATTTGGAGCCATCATTGCTGATAGTTTTTGGGGGAAATACAAGTAAGTTGATCTTTTTACTTGTAAACTTGCTTGGTTTTAATTTGTAAAGTTTAATTTAAAGCAATTAATTTAATGTTTTCTTTATTTTTTTTAGAACTATAATGTATGTATCAGTAATATATGCAGTTGGCAATATAGTTGTATCTGTTACAGCAGTACCTTCTGTACTTCATGAACTAAAGTTGTAAGTTTTATTGTTTGTTCTAGTTTTTTTATATTTTTTTAAATTTATTATAAAGGTTCTATTAATTTTCTTTTAACAGTGCTGGTCCTGCAATTGGTTTAGTTTTAATTGCACTAGGTACAGGTGGTATAAAACCATGTGTATCAGCATTTGGTGGAGATCAATTTGAAGCTGGGCAGGTAAGAATTAGCAATGGCAATAAATTTTTATCTTAATATGTCAAAATTGATAATATTTAAAAACAACATTTATGCTCTTAAACACCATCAGTATTTTTAAATGGACTTATGCATTCTATCTTTGGGCTAGTTATATGATAAATAAAGATAAATATCAAACTAAATAAGTTCAAGGATTACCAAAGAATTTATAAATTAATTTTTCTAAAGATAAAAAATAAGGAATTTTGTTTCCCATTTTTAAACAATATTATTGAAAGTGTTATGCTATAAAGATTTTTTTATCATTTTATTTTTTTATTTACTTTACTTTTATTTACTTTAAATTGATGACTTTTAAGAAAGCTATAAAAAATATAGAACTGAATAAAATATTAAAAAGCTACTAAGTCAATCAGTAGTATGCATTTTATATTATTTATACACATTTTTTTTTTTGTAAATAATTGTATATTGATACAAAAAATTTTGTACAAAACTGTGCAAAATCCTAAAGTTTATTCAAATACCATTTTATTGATATCGATATTAGTTTTGTTTTTGTTGTTTAACAGGATGACAAGCTGAGGAGCTTCTTTTCTATTTTCTATTTTTCTATAAACTTTGGTTCCCTCATTGCAACACTTTTGACACCAGTTTTACGAGGTAAAAATAATTTAAAAAAATAATTTTATAACTTCAAATTTCAAATTAAAAAAAATCACTTCTTTTCATTTTATAAAGGAGATGTACAGTGTTTTGGATATGATTGCTACCCTCTTGCATTTGGTGTACCAGCTATTCTTATGGTAGTTGCTTTGTTGCTTTTTCTTGCTGGTAGTAGTTTGTATAAAAAAGTTCCTCCTGAAGGAAACGTTGTTGTTGAGGTCTCATCAGCTGTGGGTGTAAGTATTTTGTTAGTGTATTTAGTATTGGTGGTTTGGGTTTTGTATTTAGTAATGCTAAACTGATCTGAATATCAATTTAAATATTATAATGAAAAATAGACTAGCACTACTTAAATAGGCTACAAGTTGTTATTAATTACTACGAATAGGCATTGAAGCTGTTTTAAAACAAACATCTCACTGATACTGCGTGTTAAAAGAGAGAGAGAGAGTCATATTAGTTCTGAATGTTTTGTTCTTGTTAAAAAGTTTTTTAATTGTCATATATTTTATTGAAGGGTTTATATATATCATACAAAATATATATTATAAATGTGTTTATTTTAGAGTGCTTTGAAAAATAGAATAGCAAATTGTGGAAGTGGAACTAAAAAAGATCACTGGATGGATTGGGCAGGGCAAGAATACAGTGTTAGATATTTCAAAATATTTATGACTTTATGCTGCAATATTTAAACAGATTTTTTATTTTTAATAAACTTGTCATGTTTGTTAATATATATTTTTACATTTGCTACTTTTAAATTTCTTTAATGTTATTAACTTTTGTAATTTATGTTTGCAGCCTGTATTGATATCAGATATTAAAGCATTGTTTAAAGTGCTTTTCATGTTTCTTCCTCTACCAGTGTTCTGGACACTCTTTGACCAACAAGTTAGTTTTTATTTAGTATTTATTGTTTGATTAAAATTGTTTTACAAAATTTGCAGTATTATTTTCTATTATAATGATTTTATAATTCCATTATATACTTAATTTTAATATTTTGTGAAAAATCTCAAATTTTATATATATGTACACTTCATCTTTTACCTAAGTTAGTTTATTTAAATACACTTTGCTGTGTCAATTACTAAATAAATCAGTTAATAAAACAAAAATAAAGATCAATAATAAATAAAAATATAATTGAATTTAAAAAGATAAAAATAGTATAAAACATTAAAAAAAAATTTTTGAATCAATAAAGCTTGCCTTTTTGCAGTAATTTTAAAATATATTTATATCTTTTAAAATTACTGCAATCTTTTATTTGTAAAATTTGTATTATATTTTTAACCTACTTTAAGTTTTCAAAGTTTTAAAATTGCAATAAAAGTAAACTGTATTAAAAAAAATTTTTTAATACAGTTTACTTTTAATACAAACTAAATTAAAAAAATTTTATTAGAGAAAAGTAAAATTTTAATAAAAAATTAAAAATTTTACCTCGCTCTTTTATGAACTTGTGAAATTATATTTCATTATAAACATACATATTTTATTGTTTTAGGGATCAAGATGGACATTGCAAGCTATGGAAATGAATGGAGACATAGTTTGTTTTTTGTTGTTATTGATTTTGTTATATAGTAAAAATATTTAAATAATCAATAAATAAAATAGGGTAATACCATGTAAAAGTGGGACAACAAATTGAAATTTATTTAAGATCTAGAGGAAAAATGTGGCTAAAAATTGGTAAGTTGACCATTTTTGAATGTGCTGAATTCAAAAATAAAGAGAAAATAATAAAATTAAATTTTTTTGATGATTATTGTTTGATTCTAAAATGGTCAGTCAAACTTTTTGTTTTTTTACCTTGGGTTGTGCTTTCATTAACTCTCAGAGTTACCGAAGGCTCATAAATTCAATTTTTTTCCCAATGAAGTAGGTGATCCAAGTCTATCTTTATAAAAAAAGTTCCTTATTTGGACTCAAATTTTCTATTAAAGATTTTTTAACAATAGTTTATATGTAAATAATTTAAGTTTTAGTGGAAGAAACTGACTGAATATTGGTACCTGACCATTTTTGAAGATGCTGAATTTGCTGGATGCCAAAAAAAAATTTAATTTCTCTTGTTAAAACAACGTCAACATCTTCTGAGCGTCAGTACCACATCTCAAAAGAAGATGAAATTCTATTTGAAGTTAGAAATAGAAAAAACCTGCTTTATAGAAAAAAGCTCAAAAGGAATAATCTAAAATTGAAGTTGATATCATTTAAATAATGGAAGTAAAACATTAATAAACTTTTACTTAGAAGATAAAAGATATCCAATGAACATCTTTTATCTTCTGAGTAAAAGTTTATTAATGTTTTACTTCCATTATTTAAATGATATCAACTTCAATTTTAGATTATTCCTTTTGAGCTTTTTTCTATAAAGCAGGTTTTTTACTATTTTTAAAAAAATTTGGCATTTTAGTTTCTTATTTTTTAACGCAATAAGTTCAGCATGCAATCTAAAATTTGAGCAAACAACCAATATTTTGAAGCAGAGCGACTGCAATATTTTGAAGCGGAGCAACACCAACTGCAAATATGTGTTTGAAGAATTTTTGAAGTTTTAAGCATTAAAAAGTACACTTATTTATGGGATATCTCTGTTATATACTTTCTAAAATATCTTTTACATATTTTATACTAATTCGAAAAATGAAGAGTAAGCAAAGAATTTAAAACAACATAGGATAACAAAAAGAAATTCATCCAGCAATTAATGTTCAAAAGGAAGCACCTCAGAGTTGATATCTCCACAGTTAGTGGAGCAGAATTATCTACAACCAGAAATGTTTGCAGAAAAGCATTCTCTGACCCAAAAAAATATAGATAAAATATTAGGGATTGATAAAACAAATGTTTAAAGGTTCAAAAATATCTTAATTGCAATACATTTTTTTACACGTCAATAAAAATATTGACAATATTTTTTAACAAACTAAAACAAGCTTTTTTATATAGAAATACTATGTCCTCTTAGGTATTTATGGCCCGCTACAAAATTTTCTTATTAAGTCTATGAAGATAATGGGTTATCTTTACAAGTAAGTTGCTCTAACATAGTAATAAAATTAATAATATTTAATAATATCAGTGGCATGGCTAGTAGTTTGTAGTCCTTCCCAAAAAAAAAACAGTCATTAGAAAAACCTTAAAAAAAAGAGATCCAAGAAATCTTAAAAAATTTTCCTTTGTTAAGTATTACTAAAAAAAAATCAGAAATTTGTACTTTTATATAAAAACTCTTAAAAGTCAAACTATAGCTAGGTATGGTAGTCAAACCATAGCTAGGTTTGGTAGGTAAACCATAGCTAGGTATGGTAGTCAAACCATAGCAAGGTGCTTGGACTAAATAAGTTAATAAATTGTTCGTTTAAAAAAAGAGATAAAAAAATAAAAGTTATTATTTTCTTCAAAACTGTTTTTAGCCACCCATTTGTATAAAATGACGACATAGTACACACTCAGGTTTCATCTGTATAATAAAATAACATTCGATTTAAAATTTTTTATGAATAAAAACTGTATTTAGGGGTGCCAACTTGATTTAGAATATTTAACTGTTCCCTAATTTTATCTAAAAAAAATTTATAACCAAAAAAATGTAATCATTTTATATAAATATTATAATTTTAAATTTTATTGCAAAACTTTTTAACAGGTTTTTGCAAAATTTGCAAAAACCTGTTAATCACAACAAAAGATGTTGTGATTGAACAACAAAAACCTGTTAATCTCAAACTTTATATTTAATCAATCTAAAAATAAATATGAACAAGCATCTTTTTTAATAAGTTTGTTTTTTAAACATGTTTTCATAAAATACGATTACAAACTTTGAAACTTTTATAATCTTTTGCTTCTTTTGAGTACTTCATTTTGAGTACGACATACTTAAAAAAAAAAAAAATTTAATAATATCTGAGATATGTTATATCAAGATTTCGTTATTCAAGAGACATTAGTGACTCGTAAAAAAAAATTTAATTAAAAAAAATTTTAAATCTAGTATTACTTTATATTATAAAACAAACTTTGTGGTGTAACAAAAGGAGTTTTCAAAAAAAGTTATTTTCTACCCTAATATGTGATAAAAAATAATTTTATTTATTTGTGAACTTAAACTGTTTTTATTTATACCCTTTTTTTTTGTTATTATTTATAGCTTTTTTTTGTTGTTGTATTTTTAGGGCTATTTAGGAACTGTAAAACCTGATCAAATGCAGGTAAATGTTTGCTTAATCAATGAAAATTAAGGACAATTAAAATGTCCATCTTTTTTCAAAAAAAGAAATAAAAAAATTATGAATTTTGCTATGATTGTTCTTCATTACACTTTATACATTACACTTTATAGATTACACTTTATACATTACACTTTATACATTAAACTTTATACATTACACTTTATACATTACACTTTATATTGAAGCAATTATCTATTTCTGGATGTTTTATTTTGGAAGTTTCATGGATACCCATGGTATCCATGATATATGGCTACCATAGGTATGATATATGGATACCATATCATGGATACCAAAGTTATCCATGATAGCTGCACTATCCTACGTAAAAACCAGGACGATAATTGCCCTACATATCACCCTATATATATATATATATATATATATATATATATATATATATATATATATATATATATATATATATATATATATATATATATATATATATATATATATATATATAATGTTTTTATATCAATTTTTAACTTTTATTTTTTTAATATACACTTTTTATATATGCAACCATTTTCTAAAGATGCATGTAGAATTTAGCGGATTTACAGTGTTACAGTGGTAATAAAATTGTTCTAACAGTACTTTTGAATAAGTATATTTAAGAAAACAATGATCCATTATGCATCTGATTATTAATTGTCTTGATTGTATTAAAGTAATTAAATTTTCAATATTCATGTGGCAATTTTTTATAGACGCACTAAAGTTTTTACAAGTTTTTTTGCAAATTTCTGTATATATATTATATTCTGTAGTATTTTTTATTTTGTGAGTCAAAATTAAGTTGAACTTAACCAAATGCCGAAAGGAAAGGTCCTTACCGATATTGAAAAAGGTCAAATATTCACTTTTCATCAAGAAAAAGTTCCAAATTGAGAAATTGCTTGAAGATTGAAGATATCAGATCATGTTATCTGTAATTTCATGAAAAATCCAACAGATTGTGCAACAATCAAGAGGAAACCAAATAAATCTAAGGTTTCAGGCTGTGAAAAACGCAGAATTGTTCAACTTGCGTCAAATTCATCAAAAAGTCTGAAAACAATTTTTTTTAAATTTTTTTTTTTAATTAACCTCCTCAAGGCTGAGAAGGTCACTACAGACGAAATTTTAGATTGAATTCTCATGAATACGGAAGATGTCTAAATAGTTGAATTTTTTTGTTTTCAATATCAGGTGATTTTTTCGGGCAAGAAAAAGTTTAATCTTGATGGGCCTGATGGTTTTAGTGGCTACTGGCGTGATTTGAGGAGAGAACCCAAATATTTTTTAACAAGGAATTTCGGTGGTGGATTTTTGATGGTTTGGCTTGGGTTTTGTGCAACAGGAAAGTTAAATTTAGCATTTACATCTTGCAAAAGGAAAAGTTCTGAATACATTGATGTGCTAAAATCATGTTTGATTCCATTTAAAAACAAATATTGGCGCAAAAAAGTTTGTTTTTCAACAAGACGCCAAGTTTTTCAACAAGACGCCAAGTTTTTCAACAAGACACCAAGTTTTTCAACAATACGCAAAAAAGTTTGTTTTTTAACAACGCCAGCATTAACACTATTAATTTGACTAAAGCTTGGTTTGAAGCTAAAAAAATCAAGTAAATGTGGTGGCCTGCTTGCAGTCCAGATTTGAATCCTGTTGAAAACATCTGGGAAATCATTGTAAGACGTATCTATGCTAACCAGAAACAATATAACTCTGTGGCAGAGCTAAAAGTAGCGGCATCAGAATGCTGGAAGGATATGGAGCCAAAAGTGCTGTAAAATTTGGTGGGAAGTATGCCAAAACGAACTTATAAAGTAATTGAGCGCAAAGGAGGTCCAATCAAGTACTAAAAATGTGATAAAAACATTTTTTTTGATAGTTTAGTTAAAAAATGTGAACTGCGTCTATAGAAAATAGTCAGCTATCTTATGAATTTAATTCATTTATGATTGATCTCTTTTCAAATTTGATATTATTTTTTGATAATTTTCATTATTTTATGATAAACCTAACTACTAAACAATTTCCATACTGTAATGATCTAAAATACAAACACAAACCATAACGTCCACTAAACAAGTTGTAGCAAAATTAAGTTTTTACTATTTGCCTGATGATTGTGGTAACTTATAAAACTCATTATAAATATTAGTATTTTATTAAATATTTGTTATCTGTAATATTGTTATTTTGCATATGTGTTCAAAAATAAGCATAAGACAATTTGTAATATTTAATTAAATTTTTTCCTACTAATTCGTTTAGCTCATATATTTTAATTAAAACATTTTAAGACTAAAATTTTTAGTTATGATTTTTTATCTGCCAGAAATAATTATTAAAAATGTTTAATAAAATTTTAGGCTTTAAATCCAGTGTTTGTCATGATCTTGATTCCATTTGTAGAAGCAGTGGTTTATCCTCTTGGTCGAAAATGTAGATTTTTAACCAAGTAAGTTTTACTTTTTTTTTTTAATGAAAAAAAATAATATGTTATCATCATAAAAATAATTTTATGAACATCCTTTGTTTGCCCGTTTTGATTTATGCAGCAGATGTGATAGGAAAACCACTCACATTAGAAAAGTATGCACGTGTAATTATTCAAATTTACAAACATAAATAAAACAAAGAATTTCCTCTACTTCCCTACATTTTTATTGAGTGCTTCACTCTTAGTATCTTCCTGATTACTTCATTCTTAGTATCTTAGTGAGTACTTCACACTGAGTATCTTAGTGATTACTACATTCTTAGTATCTTAGTGAGTACTTCACACTGAGTATCTTAGTGATTACTACATTCTTAGTATCTTAGTGAGTACTTCACACTGAGTATCTTAGTGATTACTACATTCTTAGTATCTTAGTGAGTACTTCACACTGAGTATCTTAGTGATTACTACATTCTTAGTATCTTAGTGAGTACTTCACACTGAGTATCTTAGTGATTACTACATTCTTAGTATCTTAGTGAGTACTTCACACTGAGTATCTTAGTGATTACTACATTCTTAGTATCTTAAGAAGTACTTCATTTAGCTTATCCAACTACTTGACATTGTTATCACTTGTTATAATTAAAATAAAAACTATAGTAAATAAATTTAAAAAAATTGTTTATGAAACAGAAATTTCCTTCAGAAGTTCTCCTCATAATTTTTCCCAAAAAGATTTCGTTAAATTATATTCGTAATAATATTATAATAATTACAATTTTTTTTTTAAACTTAATAATTTAAACATAAGTTTGTTTATTACCAGACCCTTGCAAAGAATGGGCTTTGGCATGGCATTGACTGCAATATCATTTGTTGTTGCTGGTTTTTTGCAAATAAAGATGGAGGTTTTTTTTTTTTTTTGCTTATTAGTAATTTCATAAACACGACCTTTGTATATTCTACGGGTCTCTATTATTATCGAAAAAAAAAAAGTCAACTTAAAAGAAGTAGTGCTCAAAATAGTAATCATTTTATATAAATAATATTTTAGATTTTATTGCATAAAAACTAATTTTTTTTAAATTTTTAAAGTTTTTTTTAAGTTTTAAAAAAAAACAAATACTTTTTTTAAAAATTTTATAAAAAATTATTTTGAGAATATCAGGGACTTAATAAATATGCAAGGGCCCCTAAAAAGATTTTATTATATATATATATATATATATATATATATATATATATATATATATATATATATATATATATATATATATATATATATATATATATATATATATATATATATATATATATATATATATATATATATATATAGATACATACATACATACATACATAATATATATTATATATATAAACATTATATTTTTATACTTTCTTAAACTTTCTTTCTTATCTTTTGTTATTTTAAAATTAGAAACAATTAAAGTATTTATTAATAAAGATGGGGTAGTAATGAATTTAGATTAGCATTATTTATTTTTATAGTAAGTTAAATAAATTAAAATGTTTATAAACCAAGCCAAGTTTAACATGAAAAAAAAAACCTTATTTATTTTTGGTTACATTAGGCAAAATCTTCTGTTGCTGATTTGCCTGCTACCGGTTTTGCTAATTATCGGTTTGTGAATACAGTGCCTTGTGAAATAGATATTTATGGACCAGACATGGTGATAACAAATGTATCAGTTGGATACCAACAAGTAGGTAATTGAGGTTTTCAAAATCTCAAAAAAAGTTTTTTAAAGTTATCAAAGTGTTTTAATCTATTTTGATTACTATATATTATTATTTCTTTTTATAGGGAACTGAATACTTTGCTATTCCAATCACTATTAACAGCATCTACATTTCCACAGATTGTCCTCCAAAAATGAATGCAGAGCCAAATATTTATGTTGAAGAAAAAGGAAGTTATACAATGGTCATTGGTGCAAATCACAGTCGACTTGCTGTAATGCAGGTATTTATATATTATCTGTTCATTTAATTATAGAAATTTTTGCATGAAATTTGTTATTCGAAATATATTTTTTTTAATGTTCAAAGTTTTTGATTAAAGCATAGTCATAATATAAGATAGTTGGGCATTGGTCAGTTGGCCATTGGTCAGTTGGCCATTGGTCAGTTGGCCATTGGTCAGTTGGGCCGTTTTCGCAAGATTCTATTGTTTTTAAACAATATAAGTTAAAACTTATATTGAAAATCTTTTATTTATTGTGCTCAGACTACCAATAAGTGCACAAAAATCTAAAAGATGGCAAACTCAACAGATAAACAGTGCATCAATTATTTCATATTAGACCATTCATAATCATATTTTTTCATAAGCTCAAGTGTATCAATAATTTCAGTTCTTTTCTTGTTAAAATTGGGAGTAAAAACGCTTTAACCAAATTTACTTACAGCTGTGTATGATAAAATATAAGTCTGAGCATAAATTCAAACGCTACATAACAAAGCAGCATTCAAATAGTTTCTCTTTAACACAGCAAACTAAAACATAAACTGATATTAAGAAAACGTATTCTACAAACAAGTTCATGAATTTTGTTTAAAAAAAACATTCTTATTGTTACAAACAATCTTTGCTGCAACGTGTTCTGCAAAGAAGTTCATCAATTTTGTTTTAAAACACATGCTTACTGTTAAAAACGATCTTTGCTGCCTTACATATATCAGAGATGAGCTTTTAAAGTACATATTTTTAAAAGATGATACGAAGCTATTATTCAAGTTAATATAAAGAAGTTATAAAAATTATTTACAGTAAAGTTGAAGTTTTTTATCCAAAATTTATAGGTGCAGATCAGAAAGGATTTTTCTAGCAGATCCTCACCTCTTGTAGGATATAAACTTGCTAATCATATTTAAAAAGAGAAAAAGAAAAAAATTTATTTCAATGTTTTCATTGTTATGTATTTAGTACTTGTTATCGAAGAATACGTTAGTCAAAAAAAAAGAAAGAAAAAATCTAGAAAGAGATTTTAAACTCCATCAAATAAATATTAAACATTTAATAAAGGTTATTTTGATAACCAAAAAATTTGTTAAAAACATTCTGGCATTTGAACTGTATTGCAGTATGGTTGAAAGGTGCAATAATAAAGTGAAATCAAATAAAGTTGTGTAATTTTTTACTTTAAATAATAATATCATATAATGTAATGAATGTAAGAAAGCACTTGGTTTAACTACTTAAGTAGTTTAATAATTTTTTCGGGATTTTATTTATAAAATTTTAAAATATTATTAAGACTTCTTTGCAACACTTTTTGCAACACTTCACACAACTTCAACCTAATAAGTCACTTTTTAGCCTCTATCGGTTTTTTTAAAGGTTGACAATGTACCTTTTGATACCCCAATTACTTTAATTATATATATATATATATATATATATATATATATATATATATATATATATATATATATATATATATATATATATATATATATATATATATATATATATATATATATATATATATATATATACAAATAGTATTGTGTACTAAGGTAAGCAATCTGATATCATACTGAAATAGCCTGCTGCTGTGGGCTTCAGTACATACATCGACTGACAAATAGCCTGACTCGCTGTGGAGTGCTGCTACATCGATATAGTATATATATATATATATATATATATATATATATATATATATATATATATATATATATATATATATATATATATATATATATATATATATATATATATATATATATATATATATATAATATATATATATATATATATATATATATATATATATATATATATATATATATATATATATATATATGTATATATATATATATATATATATATATTTATATGTATATATATATATATATATATATATATATATATATATATATATATATATATATATATATATATATATATATATATATATATATATATATATATATATATATATAAATAAAATATATATGTATATTTATGGTTTACCATTAAATCTTGTGATATTCTTGCATTGAAGATTTTTATCTTTTATTATATACCAAATAATGTTTTTATAAGATTTGTTGCTAGTAAAATAGCCACAAAATAGCTTTGATATTTTTTTATAATAAAATAAGGTTAGACATAACTGTATTAAGCATTGATCTTTTTAATGTAAATATTTAAATATTGACTTTCGTCTGCTTCAGTAGAAAAAGTTGATTTCTTTTTGTTGAGCTTTAGTAATATGAAAAACTACTATATTCTGCCTAAAGAAGGATTTGCCAATAAAAAGCTCTTAACTGGTTGATTTATTAAAGGTAATAAACCTGTCGATCCAACAAAAAAGTTATCTGATATCATATAAAATATTATTTTATCATTATTTATAATATCTTATAACTAAAGATATATTTTTATTTATAATTTGTAAAACTTTTCTTCTTGATTCTTTGTTATAAGCATCATCATCAGTAGAAAATATTTCAAATAGAAAAAGATTTATACTTCTTCGAGAAGTTCCAGAACCAAATATGTAACAATTAAAACAGGGCATTTGCAAAAATCAAGGATAAATCAATAATCTTCTTGTAAATATTCTTCCTAATGCGCATTTGTTTACAAAAATGTGCACTCATTGGTAGACTGGGTCCTAAAAAAAAGCTAACAATAAGATAAACAATAGCGCTCTTAAACTGGGCAGACTATTTATATTATGACTATGATTAAAGCTAATACTTATTACCCAACTTAGTTACTAGTATTTATTATACTATTAATTAAGCAAGTTACCAATGATTATTAAAAAGCAAGTTTCTAATTGTTATTGTCTAGCTAGATACCAATACAGATAGTTAGGTGATTTGTTTAACTATAATGTTTTATATTTTTTAAGCTTGCAGATGATATAACACCTTTACCACATGGTCATGCCAAAGTTCGTTTCTTACATGCTGGTGGTTCTGTTAGTGACAAAGTGACTGTACACATGAATAAAACATTATCAATTGATCTTCTTCCATTTACAAAACCAGACTACATAAATATTGTTGCAAAAACATACAAAGTTCGTGTTGCTCCAACAGGGACAGTAAATGCATTAGCCCTGGTATTTATTTATTTTTAAATGATGTTTTGTTTGTTTTTAAATTTTCGATATGAAATAGTTTTTTTTAATTGTTGTGTAAAGTTTTTTATTACTATGTAAATTTAAAAATGTTTTTTTTTATTACCAATGTTACATTTTACTTGAAATATTGGAATATCCTTAAATTTCATTATCAATTGTTATAACAGAAATAATTTTATTACATTAATTATTATATTAATGATAATAATAACATTATTAATGATAATTATATTAATGATAATAACATTATGGATAATTATTACATTAGTTATTGTATTAATGATAATTATAATTCTGTGTTGAAATAATGATAATTATTAGATTATTAAAAAAGTTTCGTACTATACCTTAAGAGATAGCAAAATAAGATCAACATTTTTACATCCCTTACTAAAAATTTTCATAGAAAATCTTATAAAACATCTTTAAAAAATAATAGCTATAATGCACCTAAAACATTAAAATCTGACTTCACCACAATATTTAACATATGGATATGTATAAACATACTGAAAATAAATAAAACAAAAAATTACAAGTAATATTGTATTATAAGTGATATACATAAAGTGATAAATAATTGAAATAGATTAAAAAAACAATTTTAAGAGAAAATATAACAATTTATTTGTTTATTATTTTATATTAACTATTTGATAAAAATAGTATATATAAATTTGATAATTAATAAATTCAAGTTTCAATAAATTAAAAAGAATCATCAACTCAGCGTAGTTAAAAGGATCCCAAACTCCCAACACATGTTGTGTTTATAATGAAGATAATGTTGAAAAAAAAGGTTTGAATGCATATGAAGAATGAATGAATGCATATGGAGAAAAACTAGTCTTGTTGTTTTAGCCGAAGCTCGCCTTCTCCATTTTACTCAAAAACTTGGAGTCTTTAAATTATATGTCGCAATCTACAGATTTATACGATTTTTTTGCGATTCCTATGATTTATACAATTTATACGATTTTTTTACGGATTTACGATATTTATACGATTCCTTTAATGCGTGTTTAATTTATAAAAGTTTTGGTATTTGACGTCATGGTAGACTTATGACTAATGAAAAATGTTATTAAACTATGCTGCGTTTTTCTATTTTTATTCAATAAGTACGTTGTTGTATTTTTTTAACTTACAGCAAAATGGATTTATTTGTATTATTTTTCCAAACATCGCAAAAAAAAATTTGTAAAAAGTGAAAATTATAAATTATTTTTATTTTATAGGAGCAACTTATTTTTTACATATCTTTATAATTTTTAGATTTATTTATCTTACTTATTTCTTTTGTTTTTAAACAACATTAAATCAAATTTTAAAGCTTTACTTACCAATCTTATGATTATCATACAAGTATTTTACATTATATAGAATGTTATATATGGTCTCTCATTTCTGTGCAAGAGAGTGCAGTATTATATATTCTGAATCTTACTAATTTTTATTTAAACAATGGAAATTATTTTCTAACTACTATGGTCATTTTTATGCTATGATATTTTTTGTTTTCCCGTCAAAAAAAAGGATTTATTAACAATTACTTACATTAACTGACAATAATAATTAGAGATATTTGATGAACTGTTAAATTTTTTTTTTATAAAAATTTTTTGATTACGCTGATATTTTACATTTGATTTTTGATAATGAAACTTTTAAAATGTTGGCAACTCCATACCAATCAGAACCTGTTAAGGTTATGAAAAAAAAGTACAAGAATACACTAAACAATACAGCTGACAGTAGTATCAGATATGAAAATTTGTGCAAGGATTTGTGAGATTCTGGTTTTGCATTACTAGTGCAACCAATAACAGCACAAGTCGGCATTATAAATTTTGATTATGAATTTTCTGTTCAATATTTTATATTTAAGTAAATATATTTTTATACAATTAACATTTAACAAAAATACAGACAAATTATTATTAATTAACGCAATAATTAACACATTAATTAGTGACAATAATTCAAGATAGATGGTAATTTAAGTTGTCAAAATGTCGTAACGCGCATTAAAAAAATATTATATTTGGTATTTTCCAATTTATGTGTCGTATTTGGCATTTGTCTGTTAACATGAAAAAATTAAAAATCTAACAAAATTGACAAAAACAAGTTTTTGCCAATTCCCATTTATTTAAAGAAAAGTTACAATTAAACTTTTATTTCTCTCATCTAAAAAAAGAACAAGTGAGGCAAAAAAAAATTCAATTTTCTACAATTCTTATTCATTCAAAGTTGAATTATGTGGAACTTTTCTTTCTCTTTTGTTCTACTCTTTTATAAAAAGAGCGAGCTTATAAAAAAAGTTATAAAGCTTATATAAAGCTTTTATAAAAAGAGCGATGAAATAAAAACTTTTCTTTCTTAACATAGAATTAAACTTAAAGATAAAATTAAATTAGAAATAAATCAATAATGAGCAAAGCAACTAACAGTCCAATCTGAGACTATTTTGAAATTGATGAAAATAATCAACATAAACAACATAAACCACAACAATAATCAAATAAACAACACAAAATCACATAATTTTAGGGAATTTTTATTTATTGCTTAGTCATTCTAAATAATTAGTAAATTTAGTTCAAGTTAATATTTCAATATTTACAGTTGCAATATAATAAAAAAAAGATTTTTAGTTATTTTTTTTTTTACCTACATTTGTTATAAAAAGACATTTAAACCCGTCATTAAAATAATTTGTTTTAAATTTATTTCAACAAGATTATTCAAACAAAGTTTTTTTGTTTGACTTCCCGAACTTCATGCAAATCAAATTCAGACGAAATATTGGCTAACTAAATAAAAAAGCTGTTACTAATTTTATAAGGGTAATTGATATAAAACAATTTTTTATCATAATCTTGATTAAAATAATAAATATTCATCATTTATTAACATTAAATATAGCGCAATAATAATTTATAGCAGCGAACCAGCAAAAAATATTTAAGGTTTTTAATATCTTTTTAAATGTTAGTTAGTAGAAAATAACTAAATAAATGTTAGTTAGTAGAAAATAACTAAATAAATAATGAAAAAAATTGTGAATAAAATTAAATAAAAATATTTCCAGAGTTTCATTGTCAAAAGTCTACCGTGACGTCAAATACTAAAATTTTTATGAATTTATCGCGCTTCAGAGGAATTGCCAAAGTCTGTAGATTGCATAATTTAAAGACTCCGAGTTTTTGAGTTAAATGGAGAAGGCGAGCTTCAGCTAAAACAACAAGATTAGTTTTTCTTGGCATGCAGTCATTATTTTTAATCAAAAAAACTTGATTCAAAACTTTTTTTTCAACATTTTAAATATGAACACAATATGTGTTGGGAATTTGGGATCCCTTTAAGGAGAAATCCGAACGATTTACATTTCTTAAAAATAAAAGTTTACTTTTTTAAACTTCAATTTTTTGTGTTTTCCTTATTTTTGATTATTACTATTATATATTTTAAAAAGTAGAGTTTAAGCTTTTTTTATATAGTTTATTATTTTTTTATAAATCTTTTTTTAACCAAAGCATCAAGTAAAACAAAACTACCACTAAAATACATAAAATGCAACGGGGCAGCATCATAAAAACAGCTGAAATAAATGCCCTAAGTGTTTACATTCAAAAGATTTCTCTTTTTTTCCAAAATAAAAAGATTTCTTGTTTACAGCATTAAAATATTCAATAAATGACTAAAAACCTCTTATTTTATCTTTCCGTAATCAGTAAAAATGTTAAAATCAAAGTTTTCATATTAGTTTTCACTCTTAACAATTTACTTCTGTAATCTCTTTATAGTTGTTTGAATAAATTACTAGACAAAAATGTTTCAGTTTTTATATAACTTCTGCCCCATAGTATTAAGCTAAAAAGTGCTACATATTTTTTTTTTTATTAAACCAATCAAAACATGTGCAAAATAGCACGGCAGTTTTTGAAAGTAAAAGGGCCTAAAAGGTATATTTTTCTTCGGATCTCTCCTTAACTATTTCTTTGATGTTTACCTGGTTCTGGAGAACCAGGTAAACATCAAAGAAAATACCATTCACATTTTGATATTCATTATTGTTTTCACCACAGTTAGTATCATTGTCTAGTTCACCAATCTAGACAATACATCATACAATTAATATATACATACTAACCAATTTTCTTTGTTTACTAATTCATTTATACTTATAATTGTTATCTATTATAACTTCTTTTATAATTACACGTTAACGCACAACTTTTTGAACATTCTATATAAATGTTGCAAAATGTTGGGTAACGCTTATATAGAAAAAGGTATCAGTTAACATTATTTATAAATAACAATTATAAGAGAATTACCTCTTTTTCACCAAGCTATCTGTATGATGTACAACATCGCTTATATTTCCAGTCAAACATTCCTGGCTATAATATAACTTAAATAAAATGATAAAATAATTTAAATAATATAAATAAAATAAAAGATTTATGCAAACTATTACATATATATATGTTACCTGTATGTTGTAACATTTATATAGAACAAGACAGCAATAAATATAGTATTACTTATAAAATTGCAGTTAAAAAAAAAACTTACTTTTTCATCTGAACTTTCTGCATGATATACAACACTTACAAACCTGTTTTCTTCACATCCTTGCTATCTTTATATATATTATAAAACACAGAACTTGTAAATGTATGGCTAAATAAATAAATTAAAATTTTATATTTATATTACTTCCTTGTCCTATACAAATGATACCAGTCAAACCTGCCTGGTATCATTTGTATAGGACAAGGAAGCAACAAATATATTATTACTTTATAATTTAAAAAAGCTTTCTTTTTTGTCCAATCTATCTGAAAGATGTAAAGGATTATTTTTATCGCCAGTCAAACTTACCTGGTTATAATGCAGTAAATAAAGTGTTCTCAAACAAGTTTTTTTCAATTATTTTGAGTAAATTGTCTACTATGCCTAGCAAAATA